TGCTGAACGTCAGTGCTACACATTGTGCAGCACTGACCCAGGAATTGCCTCTAGTGGCCGTCAGAGTGACGGCCACTAGAGGTGATCCTTTTATCTGAAGGATTGAACAGAGCCCCAAAGTGGTGAGTGAGTGGCTAGTAGAGGGGCATGTTGTATGTACTGTATTGTGTTGTTTTTGGGTGCCTCTAATGACTGTTTGAGTTTAACTGTCAAACAGCAGCAATGCGCAAAGAGAGCATCTAGGCACCAAGACCACTGCATTAAACTGTAGTGATTTTGGCAGTTACAATATCCCTTTAAAACATAATGAACTCAGAGAATCATTCCAAGATATCTAAAAAGTTACAATGAACTTTGGGTCTAAATAACAGAACTCTCCTCCTGGGGCTATAATGATTGGGCACAGTAACTGCAAATAAACAAAACACTTCTAGATATTTAGTACACCTTTAAGTAAAATGTTTAAACAATGCAGGATGTGTGGAATGTGGCATGTTAATACATGTTTGTTTACCAAGCATGCCAAGTGTACTTATCATTAAACAATATACTTTCCTGGTGGTTGTTGGAAGTGTCACGAAGAATGTGGACAAGGAAGAATTTGTGTCTCACTGAGGCACCAATGGATATTCATTAAGTATTTGAAGTCCAAACTCATCTGCATATTGTCAGGGCCTAGTTTAAAGAAACACTGCTATCAAAATGTTTTAACATACAATTTTTAATTCATGTGTATTTTTTTTATTTTATTATTTCTTGCCTGCTCTTCCTCTTTCTCTCTCTCTGTCTTATAACCAGCTTTATGCACCTTTGGTCAGGCTATCAGTTATCTGACCCAATGCTCACTATGTGCAACTGTCCATTGTGTTTCAAAATCACCTGACAGAAGATGCTGCAGGCAGAAACAGCACATCATTTTGAAATACAAAGGACAGGAATTTTGTAAACTGTTAGTAAATATATATGCAAAATGATGAGCATCCACCATGAACAGTCAGCTTTTCATCATTGATGTACATGGTTTGCTTAACTCTAGAAGGCTGTGTTTCCACGACCCTATGATTATCTGGACCTGTGGTATTAATATATTATTATTATATTATTATGTTATATTGAACTGATTGTTTGATTAATTGTTTTATTGATTTATTGTATGCCCTATATATATGGGATATGTATTTGAGGATGGTAGCTTGGTAAAGTTCTCAGTTGGTAAAGTTCTCCAATAAAGCTGCTGTTTTACACATCTTGAGTGCCTGGATTTTCTTTCTACTACTAACTGAGAAACAAACAGCCTTAGGTCCAGTAAAGCACCTTGTGTGTAAAGGGTGTGCAGGTGACACTTTGTTTCTACAACTTCACACCTATACTGTCAGGAATGCATGTTTGTATTACTGACACTATAGTGTTCCTTTAAGAGTTAATGAATGTGTAGTGGTTTAGAAAAATACCCCTCTCTGTCTCATTAGAGATTTTGCCTTTCAGCAAGGCAAATTGCTAGTGTAAGACTCACCTAAGAGGGTTTCCCTTGATGTTGCAGATGAACTTACACTTAAATGACCACAAGAGTGATACCAAAAAACCCTCCAGTTATTTAAACGAGTATAGGGATTTGGGATAGTGCCCAAGTAACTATTTTCTTTGCTTTTGTATTGTATGTATTGTGGGGGATGTGTACTAGAGTCATTGCTGCCACCCAGGAGTAGTGGGAGTTTGAGTGCAGGGCCTAATTTTGTAAAAAAAAATTAACGCCTGGCTAAAATTTTTTGCACAGTTCTGTATGTGCGACCTCTATAAATATTTCATGCATAAAACTGCATACATAATGCAACGGCGTGTATTCAGAACTATCGTGGTTGGCAAAAAAACATACACACATCTTCTATTACCTAACTCACCACTAAACGTATGATAGTGTAGAATGTTTTTATTTTAAATGTTATTCTAATTGATTTAGGTTCTGCAGATATGACAGCTTGGCTTTTTAGAGCATTCAACATAAATGAAGGACTATAATGGTCAGGGTTCTATTTACTAAGCTACCAATGCATTAATCTTTTCCATATGGGTACCTTTGTTTTCTAGTACAAGTGTTTGTGCAAGTTGAGAATTAGAAAGGGATCCTTTCTTAGCTTGCCAGTAAATAGCTGCCATAAACTGTTGCTGTTAACAATAGCTGGTAGTTTGTAGAGGCTACAAATTATCATCAGGTTTCCAACTTTGTCTCTAATACTTGCTGTTAGTGCAGACACTAGCCACTGGAGTATTAGTGGCTTGCTGGTAAAGCACAGAAGCACAAGTATGTGCACTTCACCCTATAGTGGCTTGCAGGTTTAGCTTTAATAAGATTTATAAGGATTTAGCTTTATTTGCTTTTTACAGCAGGCCTGAGACTGATGTTACAATTTGCGGGTTAGCAGCATCCAGTTATGAGCGGCTAGAAGATTGGAAAACATTAGCATAAATGTGTGAATTCCAAGGTAGTGGAAGTATGTGCACCCATGTATATGAACAATTCCAAGTGCGGCATCCATAAATGCATATTATGCTCGGACATAGTTGTTTATTCTGGATACGTCATATTGGGCCAAATTAAAATGAGCATTGCAACATTTAGCCCAATTTAGCTAAGCTATGACTCTAACAGAGTTGAAGAATGATTCTAAATCATATTTATTTGCCCCAGTTGTGCAATTTGTACTTGAAATCACTACAATTGAATGTTTAATGAAAAAAAATGCTACAATTCTAAATGTCGGGAAGAATAACATTTCATGTTATCTATATAGCGCTAGCATCACCAACGTGAAATGTAATTACAGGATATAATTTATCAGGTACTGCCTTCCTTACAGTTTCACTTTAACCCCTTAAGGACACATGACATGTGTGACATGTCATGAGCCCCTTTTATTCCAGAAGTTTGGTCCTTAAGGGGTTAAAGGAATACTCTAACATGCATATATAACGTTAGAGTGCTTGCCTCACTGTTTAAATTGGTGACCCCCTTGAAAAGGTTAAACCTTTTTTCCCTCACCACTTTGTGGCTGCGACTCTGCACACCCTGAGATCTTTGTTACTGATGCTCATTACTCATCCAGTGTGATTGCAAGGGGACGTGGCACATGTGACAATCGATGCCCTGCACCAATCAGCTCTCTTCATACAGATGCAATATCTATTTGGGAAACATTCAGCATCTTTATGCAGAGCATGAAGATGACAAAAGTCGGTCCTGCAAACATTGCACAACCACACCAGGAACACCTCTTGTGGCCGTCACTCAGAAAAGATGCCACAGAAAAGACAGTGTATTCATTGATGTCTT